AGATGATGAGTAAATACTACAGACTACTATAAATAAGTTATAAAGTTTCCTAGTTTCCACAAAAGACGAACAATTATTGTTACTCGATATAATAATAATTACAGTTAACAACATCTCCACCAACTTGGTCAGATACTTGAATTATGAAATCTTAGAGAAACTTCGATCTCAGTTGTTAAAATTAGTTGGAGTCTATTTAAACACAAATCGCATATCTTACTGTCTATTATATAACCTTGATATCATGAAATTGGTTACTACTCAATGAATGGTTGGTGTAAACTTCTTAATTAGGGCCTGTATATCTTGTAGTGACTTACTTTTATCAAGAGAATGCGATTGATTTAATGGAAACAATCATTATTATAACCAATTGTATCAGTGATTGTCTTACTGTGCTCGTTTGTTTAACTTTGCTAAAGACAGCCATATTACTGCCTCATTATCTTTCGATTGTGACCTTGCACGGGTTCGGTTACGCTCGGTAACTACGCCTGTACTCCTTTGGCACGATCTCGGTATCCTTTCGATACCACGAGATCGCCAACAAATACATCTCGACTACAGCTATCAACTGCCTTCTGATATTTGGCTTACGGGGGATTTTATCGGTTAACTGGCACGTAGTCTTCTTGTAGTGTTCATAGTAAATCGCGGCTCGTCATCACTCTACGAGCTCACTATCAGTCTCTGATTATGTTACCAAGTAATGCTAGTTCTAATAATACAGAAAGAATCAGTCACTTCAAAAGTTTAAATAAGACTTTCGAAAAAGGGCTAATCAACATACAAAAAAATCAATTAATTTTTGTTGGTTTCTGTTAACAAACTTATAGCAACTAATGTAACCGAATATCACAAGTTGAGAACGGTAGTCAATAGGAAATATGAATAACAATGATAATTTTTAATAAAATGATAATATTCACAGATTGAAATCATGAGTCAGTTGAAGCGATACCACCATTGAAAACCTGGAAGCACTGGACGGCCGTTTCATCCTAGTATGACTCATGATTTCAATCTGTGAAAATTTCTAAAATCTCCACAAAACACATTCTGATAATAATAATCACCTGCTCACTAGTGACTGACTTCAGGAGACACTTCTGGAGTTCTAGTGAGAAGCCGTTACCAGTGGAGTTCAACCAGGTCTGTTGTGAGATAGGAACTCACTGAAGACAATGATGTATAGTAGCGCAACTTCGTGGATTGGTTGAAGTTAGACATTAACACCGTTGGATGCCGGCTCAGTGGTCTAATGGTTAAGTGCTTGCGCGCGAAGCCAGTAGATCCTGGGTTCGAGCCCCGGGTGGTGCGGGGTCGTGGATACGCACTGCTGAGGAGTCCCATACTAGGACGAGACGGCCGTCCAGTGCTTCCAGGTAAAATGGTGGTCTAGCTTCAACTGACTCATGATTTCAATCTGTGAAAATTTCTAAAATCTCCACAAAACACATTCTGATAATAAAATGATAATAATTAAAACTTGTAGGCATTTCTATCTACCTATGAACTACAGCAAAATAATTGAACAATATTATATAATGACGAATAGTCTATGAAAACTTTAACATTTACATAATTGTTATGACAATGGTGGACGGTGACCCAACTTCGTGGATTGGTTGAAGTTAGACATTAGAACCGTTGGATGTCAGCTCAGTAGTTAAGCGTTCGTGTGCAAGACTGACAGGTCCTGAGTTCCAATCTCGCAAGGTGGGATCATGGATGCGCACTACCGAGAAGTCCCATACTAGGACGAGACGGCCATCCCGTTCTTCCAGGTTCTCCATGGTTGTCTAGCTTTAATTAACTCATGAATTCAATTATTAAATTACTGAGATGGTGGAGAAGATTCGTTGCTCAAGTGGATGATTTTGATGAATTTTTGTTCTCTGAGGTGCATGGTATGGTCGTCGAGCTATCATCGTTCTTCGAACACTTCACTTCTATCTAAAGTTTGTGCTGATGATTTTGTTCAGAAGAACGATGAAAGCTCCACAACCAAACTATCCAGCTAAGAGAACAATACTCCTTCAGTATTAAATTACTGTAATATCCACAAAATCCCTCTCTGATTATAATTGTTATAGTTTAGGTTTTCCCATAGATACAGTAAATCATGCTTCCTTTTTAGTTATTTCATATCTTTAATTGTATTTATCTTTTCTTTCTAGTTTTTGTACATGATTTATGATCACTTTATGCTGAGCCCAAAGTTGAAAGTTAACAAGTCTCAGCTTTTCGTATCTAGGCTAAAACGTTATTATTAAATGAAGAACATATACTAGATTCCTTTTTTTTTTCTTGTAAAGATAAGTTATTAGTTACAAATGTTTATTTACATCAATTTAATGATCGTATTGAAATATAACATAACGTAATAGGGTATGTTAACATGACTGTGCCGCTTTTTTAACTCTCTCATATTAAGTGACTATCTCTTTTCTCATTTTTTTATGTCACCTAAAGAGGAACATGACAAAATATGACTCGAAAGATCAATACATTTGATTTTAAAACGATTTAGTTTTTAGATCAGAATTTATTGTACATGTTTAATGGTTGACAAATCTTAGTACACTTTACACATCATGTTCTTACTATATTCAACTGATTTGAATGATAAACTAATACTTACTTGTGATATATTATGGTTATTTAAGTAAGTATTTGCTGTGGATGCGGAAGAATAGACCAATAATTAACATGTTAAGTCCAATGGTGTCCTTGGACTTTAAATGGACATTTCCTACTGGTCGATATCTGTTCACTTGTTGAATATTGTACAAAATGTTGTTTTCTATTTTTATGGTACGATGTGGTATGTTTGGTTAGTATATAAATAGAGTATGTCTGAAATACAATGATTCATAACTCAGAGGCTGAGATTTGTGTTCTGGACTCAACTGGTTGGGATAGACAGGGAATTGGAGCCAATTGGGACGCTAGGTCGTCCATTGCGTTCGTACGTGTTTACGTGTCATTGAATCGATCGATAAGTACGCTGCTCTCTGATTTTTCAGTCAAGGACAGAACAATTAGCACAGGGTAAAAATCAACCACAACTTAAAGTCACAACAGTATTAGTAATTATTTTTAGTGTAGTATTAGTCACAATATTTGTTGTGTTAAGAATATAGTATCCATTCACGCATCCATCGTAGACATGCACTGATGAAGAAACCTATACTAGAATGAAACGGTAATTCAGTGTTTCCAGGTTTTCCATGGTTGTCTAGCTTTAATTGACTTATGAGATGGTCGAGAAGATTTGTAGCTCAGATGGATGATTCATCGATGAAAGCTCCATGACCAAACCATCAAGCTCAGAGAACAAAACTTCATCAAAATTAATTGACTTATGAATTCATTTGATAAAAAATCATTATAACTCATTCTCATAAGTATAATTGGTCCAAAATAACTATCATTCTGTAATTATACTGTCTGAATAGGTGATAATTTGTTGTCCCGTTTTCATCGTTATCCAGGTAAGTTTTTAAAAGCACGATATCACGGTAAAATAACTTTAGAATTTATTTTTAAAAGATTAAATTAAGTGTCCTTTGAACAGAAAGAAAAATATGTTATTCACCCTTTAGGTTACCGAATACATCAGATATGTAGTACGGGATGCATTGATGAAGGGAACGTATTCCTCAGACAAACTCTGACGAAATATGGTTGTTAAGACCGCTTTATAGATAAGAATATGAAAAGGAGTTGTTGTGACAAGAAATCTGGTTGTTCCGTTCCAAAGAAGAACCTTTATATAAGATTGGAATTTAAAGGTGACCGAACATTTGATGTAATCAAAAATCGTTTAACATCAGCGATAAAAGAACATTTTATGCTGCAAAACTGCGAATAACTTCCATTAGTAGGAAATTGTTTTTTGTATCCGTAAAAGATAAGCTTCCCCGTCTGATCGCCTCTATATGCATCTACCAGTTCACTTGCTCTTGTGAATCAAGGTGTATTGGCTGTAGCCAGCTCTCGCCCTTAACTCGGATACGCGAATACGTTCCAATGTGTTCTTACAAAGGTGATAGGCAAGCAGTTAGAAGTTCCATACTTGAACATCTAAACGACTGTAATCATTCTACGTATCCTCAATTTGATTTTAAGGTTGTATATACGATTCGTCCACATCTATCTAGGTTTCTTTGTATCCAACTTCTAAAAATAGCCGAAGCTTTTATTATCCATGAGCTCAAGCCAGAATTATGCGTACAAAAGAAGTACATCCTGTTGTTATTCTTACCTTGGTCTTAATTCATTACTATGACAGCATTTCGCTCTCTACTTATGCCTCATATTCTCATTATTTTTTTCATAAATGATCATGATATAACACATTATTTATTTTTACTCTCTTATGATCTTTAATGACCTTTCATTATTGTTAGAAAAACATTTTAATCATCTCTAACCTACTAAGTCTATTGTTATTACTCATATTAAGTAATCTGGTATTGTAATCTATCTATTACATCATCTTGGTTATTCCTTGTTCACATTTCCTCATGGAACTAGTACTTTAACAAAACATTTTCATATATATATATATATACGATTGTACAGCTTGATAATAAATTCGTTGAAAAGAGATCCCTTCGTTGAACTTCTTTATTTTAGCGATTAAAGCGAGACCGATAGGTCTTGCGTCCCAATCTCGTGAGGTAGAATCGTGGTTGCCCACTGCTGAGGAGTCTCATACTCCGACGAAACGGCTGTCCAGTACTTCCAGGTTTTCCATGATGGTCTAGCATCAAATAACTCATGATCTCAACTACTGAAATTACTATAATATCCACAAGAAAGCCCTTCTGATAATAAATGAGAATTATCTGTCATATATTTATCATATGAAATTAGGGGGGGGAACACTTATGAAGATTGAAATACAAAACATTGAAATATCAAATTATGTAATGTGTTTTTTACATACTTAAGTAATTTAAGCGATAATAAAAAGATTTTTTAAAACTTACAACGCATGTACGTTTATCGGCAAGTCTTCGATATCCATCTGGGCATATACATTCATATGATCCATAAGTATTAATGCATCCATAACTACAACCATGTACAAAAATAGATTGATCACATTCATTTTTATCTTTTTCACAATATTCTCCTTCAAAATTTGATGTACATACACATTTTCCATCAAAACATTTTCCATTGTTTTGACATTTGAAATTACAAGAAGATTTTAATTCACAACTATGACCATCGGCTTGAAGTTCATATTCAGGATCACAACCGCAATGATATGTACCATCCTGTATTTTTTAAAAAATACATACGGAAAATCAAATTTATTATAAAGCCTCAAAAAATATTATTAGCTCAATTACACCCATTTAGTCAGTATGTACTCAAATTAAACTTGGATTTACTTACACACAGTTGTCAACAATTCTAATTGATAAAAATAAGTATTAGTGAACATCTATTTAAAAAAAGCTGAAACTTGAAGAACTGCTACAACCATAATCAAGAAGGTATAAGTATTTATAAATAGTTGTCTACGTAGGATAATCAACATCCATTGGCCGGATACCATCATCAACAGCCTACTGTGGGAAAGAACAAACCACCTTCCAACAGAAGAGGAAATTAGGAAAAAACGATGGAAATGGATAGGACATACATTATGTAAATCACCAAACTGCATCGCGAGACAAGCCCTAACATGGAATCCTGAAGGGAAGCGGAAAAGTGGAAGGTCAAACAACACATTACGTCGGGAAATAGAAGCAGATATGAAAAGGATGTATAACAACTGGAAAGAGCTGGAAAGGATTGCCTAGCACAAGGTTGGATGGAGAATGCTGGTGAGCGGCCTATGCTCCTTCACGAGGAGTAACAGGCGTAAGTAAGTAAGTACTTAATAAAAAGATCAGTTGCTTGAGTTTTTCTACTCAATGTGCATTTAAAAATTTAACTACACCTGTGGAAATAGCTATATTAGGCGTGCTACCAGGTGATTTAAATAATGAATGAGTGACCTTGGTTTCGAAAGGTGTAAGACAATGATAATACTTAGCTCTATCACGGTACGTCTAGTTAATAGTGAGCATATGGTAGATAAACCGAATCATGTCGAGTGATATATCGAGTAATTTTGTTATTCCCAACAGATAGCAAAAGCTAAAGGGATACGAATCTTTAACTTTAGTTTATGTATCTAGAAGAAATAAGTGACACCTCTGTCCCTTCCTGAGTCAGATAAGTGTGGGATTTTTTGCAGACAAATAGAAGCTTAGATGATTTTAATTTTTTAAAAAACAGTTCAAATATATGTCTGTATTATCTACGATAAATTACTCATTAAGTTAGAAACTTCTGTTATTATTTGTTAACAGATTGCCAAAAAATGGGACCTACTAATATTAAGATGGCAAATAGTTGACTGTTTCTATGATTGTACCATTTTTTTAGGATGTATAAAAGTATAAATGAATTGATTGTACATGTAGAGTATTCCCTAGTGTTAGCTGCAAATTTCACCACCCCGATGTAACAGGATACAACAGTATATATATATTCAGTTTTGTGCCTGCATTGTAGCTTAAGTTAAACAATCAGTTTCATAATTTATTTTACCGTACTGTTTAGATTTTTCACACAAGCTTTTGACTGAAATACTTTTTATCATTTAGTTTACTGTCTGTTAATCTAATTAATATCAGTCATTGTCGTTATTGTCATTCAATTATCTCTTTTTTAATTATCTGTCAAAATCCTTAATTATACTGAAATTGTGTTTTTGTATGAGTTTAGGGGCTGGTATTATGTCAGGCGTACATTGGACAGATCAATCAATTCATTATTCTCAAGACATATTTTTACCCTGTCAGTTATTCGTTTATTAACACTGACTGGTCTTAGATGATATTATGTGTGCTAATTACTTAACCTGTGTCTGTAACTTATATTTGTTCGACCATAAATATCGATTCACGCTTGACTAGAGTTGGCTTAGAAGCCTTCACTGTGTGTCGTTTCGCTTCCCTCTCTTCGCTTTGTTTCTCCGATCATTTGTCTGAATCAATGATTGTATAAAATACATTCTCGTATTTGACTTATTTTATTCCGTTATTCATTAACACGATCTAAGTCGATGATTATATACGAAAGAAGCCAAAATGTATATTTCGATAACAATCAGCATATAGTCTAATTGGAGTCCGATAAAGGACTACTAAATGGGAAAAGTGACATTGTCTTGTGAAAGAAAACTATAGTCAGTAGCAAATTACATAAATTTATCACAGGAAGAAATTGATAGATAGGTCTTTTTGTATTATAAAAGACCAACAGCGCTAAGGTTGTTTGAAGATACATACTGAAAAAGAAACACTATCATAATTCATATTACCTATATAAAGTTTTAAAAATGAACATAGTTGTTTAACTCAAACGAGGAAATTAAAGGTATTGGCAATAATTGTAGAAATCTTTATAGAACATAAGTAGTTTCTAAGGAAACTCATGTTCAAGAATTTCATTGTTTACCTTCATTTTCTATCCGTAAACTAGTTGATAAAGCGCATAATACATCCTCATTTTCAGAAGCGGGTTTTGTGGTGATTTTATTAATTTAATAATTGAATTCATGAGTCAATTAAAGCTAGACAACCATGGAAAACTTGGAAGCACTGGACGGTCGTTTCGTTCTAGTATGATACTCTTCAATAGTGTGTGGGAGGCCCGTAGTTTTGTCGTCGCTTAAATCGGACGATGTTCGTTGAAGGGCTCACCAATGAGGGGGCCCGAGATCTGACTCCATTTCAGATTGTATGATATGAATGTTTGCTATCACCTATTCTCGTATATAATCGTCGACTTAAATCACGTTAGTGAATAACGAAATTTAGATAAGTCAATTAACGAGAATGGCCTTTGAATACATATATTTTGTATGTAAAGTGAATGCAATAGAACAGAGCAAAACGACGCCCAGGGAAGATGGCTGGGAAGCCAACTCCCTTTCAAGCTAGGCATTACTTAATATTTATAGGCGGACAAAATAAACGACAGACATGTGATAAGTCACGGGACATGAAATGTACACACATACGCTCATATGAAAACAGTCAAGACTAATAAGCGAATAATTGACAAGGTCAAAATATGACTCAAATAAAATGAATTAAATAGGATGTCCACAAGTTAGAATAAGGTAGATGGGCTTGCCATAATAACTGACACTACATAGCCCCCTTGTAGAAAACAGCACATTTAAAAAATGTCTGTTTTCGAAAATAACACTGAAGTGATATGAAGTTAACGTTAGCGACAAGTAGCGAAAAAAAATTGTACAACACTCGATAAAGTACAGTGTCACATGAGGGGTGAATGTATTTTATGAAAATACATGAATATTGCAAAGGCGCGGACAAAAATGGAAACGTTAACATGCGAATATGAGCGAATTAATGAGCGTACAAAATATTAACATGTACTAATGCTATGACTGTCTGAACAATAAAATAAGTTTGTGTGAGTGATTCAAAATATCGTAAAAATAATAATAAATTGTTTGTGGGTATGACAGCAAAATAAATCATAAAAATAAGTAAAGTATAATATGACAGAAATTGGTCTGTGGTGCTGACAGAATAGCGAAATATGTTAAATATATGTTCTGTTGAGCCGCAGTAGAATAGGTAGCATCGATTAGCGATGAGTGAATTTGAATTTAAATGCGTAGTTCCCATTCGTAGAATGATAATAGGCAAGTCGTGAAATGATAACTGCATTGACGGGTGATATTCGTTGCTGTACTGCAATTGATAATAATCATAAAATGTGAAATCAGTGAATGTTGTCGTCTGCGTTATGACAGATGCATTGAGTTATCGTTAAATATGTATTAGTAGAATGACCAGAGGAACAGAATAGTGACTGAGTAGACGAAGTACGTAGAGTCGTATTCCTTTTTGGTCATGAAGCCTAGAGTGGTTTGTGTGGTTTGAGAGAGATGCGCTCGATCTCGTTTGTTACAAAACCGTACCAAGGCATGACAAAAATACCAATACATATGATTAGCGATGGCGACGTATGAGACTGACTTGGATGTGACGAACAAGAGTGTATCTTTGAGAGACTAGCTCTAAACTCTATGTTCTGATATACCGTGCGATGGGTATAGAATAGTAGTTGCAGTACTCGAATAACGTTTTTGGTTGATAAATGATGCGGCGTGCAGTTATGCATGTGAAAGAATAGATAAGATGAACGTAATGGTTTCTAATCAGCTAGTTAGATGCATCCACAGACATAATAGGAGGCGATTTCGAAATGAGAAATGTTGTGATAACATAACATAATGACCTCGACTAAGTGAATGAATGTAATATTCGATCAAATGACATGAGAAAAAAAAATGGAACGAACTCACTTAAAGCAGGAAAATTTCATGTTTTGAATAGTAAAAATATTCCAGTGAGTTTTGGATGTCATAAAGTGGAGTGTTCATAAAATGATAATCTGTTCGGTGAGCAATATGATTGCGAAAATGTCATAATTTAATGACAGCATGAACATGATTATTAATTCCACATTCGGTTATGATATTGAGAATAATGTAATAATAAGCATATAATGATACTTCGGATCATGATGGAGCAAACCGACGAATGGATCAATGAGAATAGTTGACATGAGGACAAAGTATCGATAAGATAATACGACTTGAGCATGTCCATGTCATGTTGCACAGGCTGTGCTGGTTGCGTCGGATTGGAGATTGCGCTGGCTTCGCTGAATTTGTTCGCCGAACGTATAGAATGCAGAAGTTCCTTCATCGACGTAGCTTGCTGCGTTGCGTTCGTCGTCGGCGGGCGCATCATTTTTGTGGCCCATTATCTGACTCCATTTGAGATTGGTATGATATGAATGTTTGCTATCACCTATTCTCGTATATAATCGTCGACTTAAATCACGTTAGTGAATAACGAAATTTAGATAAGTCAATTAACGAGAATGGCCTTTGAATACATATATTTTGTATGTAAAGTGAATGCAATAGAACAGAGCAAAACGACGCCCAGGGAAGATGGCTGGGAAGCCAACTCCCTTTCAAGCTAGGCATTACTTAATATTTATAGGCGGACAAAATAAACGACAGACATGTGATAAGTCACGGGACATGAAATGTACACACATACGCTCATATGAAAACAGTCAAGACTAATAAGCGAATAATTGACAAGGTCAAAATATGACTCAAATAAAATGAATTAAATAGGATGTCCACAAGTTAGAATAAGGT